CCTTTTTGAAAATGGGGGTTATGTGTCACATGCAGGAGAAGAAGAAAGGGAAATAATAAGATTTCATCAGCTTTCACTTTATTATAATGTCCTCATGTTATCTCAGAGTGTGGAAAATGTATGTGTTTGAGAAGGGCAGTGTTATCTGAAGGAGAAATAAATCAGTGATTAAAGCATTATATCCTTTAGACTGTATCCTGTGGATTTTACAGCTGGACCAAACCAAAAATATGTAATGAGATCCCAGGCAGAAATTCTGATAAGCTCTTGTAATGATGTTTTGGCAATCTTGTTCAGGCAGGCTGCAAAACAGCAAGTAATTGAATTCAAAACTCCCTGAGCAGCAAGTGGTACCCTATGCCCTGGACCATTCTCTCCCTCAATTCAATGAAAACTCTACCAGAAAATTTACTGCAAAGCTCCTACAACGCAGAACACATGCCATGAATTTTCTGGATTAATAGGATGTGACAGGAAAGTTACCATAGAAAAATTAAAGTGATGACTGGCTGTGGCTCCAAACTGGAAGTTACTAAACTCGATATAAGATTCCCAGCAAGAAAGTACTTATCAATATTTTATAACTCCACTCTTAAAGGAAAGTGTCACTCATAAAACAAAGGAATGCAGAACTGCTGTCGAGCAATGAGATGTTTTCATCTTTTGCAACTCAGTGTACTTCTCCTTAGCTTTGATCACACTTGTCATTAATCCTAATCTTCCACACACTTCCTTGCAAGTTCTGGAAAGCCCTTCCTGAAATAACAACCCCTCAGAGCCAACTGCGGAATAACTCCAATTCAGACATTTTTAACATCAACACTTTTAGCTTATTTTCCTAAATTAGCAAGGACAATTTGTAATGGTTTGAAACCTGCTGCCCCTGGTGGGTGGAGATCTGAAACCCTAAACCAGGTACAAGCCTGAATGAAAGGGGTGTACACCTGTCCTATTCCCACTCCCCTTTTCCTGTCTTCGGGACTTCCTGCCAAGGTCTATAAAAAAGGGGAGAAAGGCATGCCTCCTCTCTTCCTCTTCTTCTCTTCTTCCTCTTGCTCCTTTGACCTTGCACCTGGGCACACGCTGCTCTGCTGCTCCCTGTGCTACACGTGGCCGTGGCCATCTTGGAGACCTGGGCCTGATCTACAGACTCTTCCCTGCCTCCATCCACGTCCAAGGATTGTGCATCCAGCTTCAATCCACCTCAATCCAGCGAGATCCAGCACCGGGGAGCCTCAGCATAGCATTTGGGTTTTGTATATTTGGAAGTTTAATCTTCCTTACCTTGTTGTTCCTACAACCCCCCTTCCCTGTTAAACCCCTTCCCTTCTTCTTTCTGATCCCTGTTAAATAATATATTTCATTTTGTTAATTTTCAATTTGGTGCAAGGTTTTCATTACCCCTGCCTTCCTTATTTACCTCTCTATCTGGGAAACTGAGGGATAAGGGAGCTGGGACACAGTTCTGCCTTCTAACTGGGACAGAACACAATTTCATGTTGAAGAAGCAACAAAAAATCCAATCAAAAAATCTAAAGTTCTGGAAAGCCCTTCCTGAAATAACAACCCCTCAGAGCCAACTGCAGAATAACTCCAATTCAGACATTTTTAACATCAACACTTTTAGCTTATTTTCCTAAATTAGCAAGGACAATTTCATGAAGAAGCAACAAAAAATCCAATCCAAAAATCTAATCAAAACTGTTTAACTTCTACTTAATGCCTATGGTTTTCCTCCTGGGCTGCTCTTGACTCACCTGGCTCTTACACTGTTTCCCTCTGCCTCTCTCCCAACAGCTCTGCAGTCCTGTGCCTCAGCTGGAGCAGCTGCTGATGGACCCAGAGCTTCTCAGGGCCAGTCAGGCAGCAAAACAGGTCATCTGCATAGTCTAACTGTGACAAACTCATTACAGACTTTGAACATATTGTTGTTTTGAGGAGAGCACAAAACCTGTCAGCACACAAAAGCAGATGCGTTCTTCCTTAAGGGTTTCTTAGCTTGTGGGTATCACCCACCATCAAGACCTTCTGGGAGCAGAAAATAAAAAGCTGGATAAAAAGGCTATTCACTGAGACACTGGTTATAAAAAGAGATGCTAGTCAGCAGAAAAAAACCATGCCTACCACCTCAGACCATCTCTTAATTTGCAGTGATATTGGGTGCCTTGCTTTGTTCTTGCAGAAGCTGTCACTTCTTCTCCCACCGTTTCTTGAATGCTGACATGTAAAAATTTCAAAATAGTTGAAATTTTGAAATTTTCTGGTACTTGGAGTTTCCTCTTCAGCTAACTGCTGGCTCCTAGAACTATGAGCCTTGTAAACATTTACATTCCAATCACTTTTTTCCTTGTATTTTCATGCTCTTGCAAGGACCATACAAGAGGTACATTTGCTTAGTGCTTACAGCTCAGCTTGAGATGAAATGAGGAAAGTGTTAACAAGGCCATTTCAAAATGGCATCAATTCTCTTCCCTTCTGAAGTTCATCTGGAACCAAACAACCTGTGAAACCACAATCACTCAGCTGAACTCCAGTTTAAAATGCCAAGAGGAATGCCATTTTAGGGCTGAAAGGACACGTGCTGGAGGAGCATGCCATGGGGAAGCCAGCCATGGAGGGATGGTGGTGATGGAGAGAATGGCTGAAATGCAGCAGGCATGTTCACCATGATGAAAGGTGGCTTGGATGAGGCCCAGGAGGTGGCAGGGGCTCAGGTCACTCACCACAGCCTGCTCTGCTGGCTCAGCAGGCTCAGCAGGGATGGCCTCTTTTTCGGCAACAGCAGCAGCAGGGGTTTCTTCAACCTTGGGTTCCCCAGGTGCAGCTTCTTCAGCCTCAGTCTTTGGTGTTATTGATTTTTAAGCAGATAGTGGAAAAATTGTTGAGAAGCACGTGACAGTGGGGAGGGGGGAGGGGAATGGGACCTGTGCCTGGCACAGTGCTGCTCCAGGCTCAATCTTGCCGGGCTTTGCCAGGGTGAGGACAGCAATGCTTGACCTTACAGCATCTAAAGGGCATTCTCCTCCTCAACGTTCTACACATAAACTGAGCCAGTCCTCCATCCCTCTCTCACAGGAAAGAAAGCATCAGCTTCCTGAGTTACAGAAAGGGGTGATGAAAGTTGGGGGGGAGGCACTCAGTTTGCTCAGAAATGCTCCAGTAACTGATGGCAAGGTCAGGAGTTGAAACTGGCACTTGTGTACCAACGCTGGGCTTCAAGGATGAGTTTTTAAAATTATCCTCTATTCCCTGGTTCCATCTGTTCTCAGACAATATAGTCCCTTCTCCAGTGAAGGTAAGAAGCACTTAGCAGAGACTCAAACATATAAATTGGTTTTTACATGCACAAGGGCAGCCACTGACTGCTTGACTTCTGGCAGTGTGAAAATCATCCCTGGATTCTTACTAAAACACATTCCCTCCTGAACTCTCAATCACCTACACGGCATCCATTTATCAATCCACTTTTGGGATTTCTACCCTTTTACATTCTGCCCTAAGCTTTTTTTTTTTTAGCAAAAGGCTGGAGCAAATCTCACCATTCCTGCAACATGTTCAGTCCCGTGGCAAAACAGCTGAGGGCCAAAGTGAGATTGCCACTGGAGAAGTCATTTTGCAAAGACACGCACGTAGAAGGGTTGAGCTGCAAGCTGTGCTCAGCATATTCCATTTATAAGATGGCTGACTCAACCAGACAAAATAACCCCAGTCGATTAATTTGCCATGAACAAATTGCTCAGCATAATATGAAGCTCAAAGGTTATTTAGCTACTTTGCAGCTGATAACAGGCAGCTGGCTACAAGGTCTCCTGTGATGAAGAGACAGCTTCCATGGAATTCCTAAGACACTAAAATCTTCTACTTTCTGATATTTTTCAGGAAAACAAAACAAAACAAACAAAAGACAGCCTCTCACTTCTTTTCTCCTATATTCCTTACACAGACAGATTTTACATGAAATACAGAGAAGTCTGCCTAAACAAGGCCTTCAGGATTTGGCATAGCATGAAGAAACATTCATGTTTGTGCAGAATCTTCTCAGTGTGGTGTATTAATACCAGCTCTAATATTCCTTACACAGACAGATTTTTCATGAAATACAGAGAAGTCTGCCTAAACAAGGCCTTCAGGACTTGGCATAGCATGAAGAAACATTCATGGTATTATATCATGTGCAGAAACCTCTCAGTGTGGTGTATTAATGCCAGCTCTAGGGAATTTCACAAGGCAGAAACAGGACTAAAATGAGAAACACAAAGTCCATTTATCTGAAGTAAGATGACTAATGAGTTTCCTGAGGTTCAATGCTGGAAAAAACTTTCAGACCTGAAATCACAGGTAACATGTTATAATGTGGACTGTGGCTACTATTAATATGTGGAGAGTGGATAAAACTACAGGAATACTGGGAGACATTTAAACAGCCACCACGTACTACCAGCTGCTTGTGGTACTCTGGATCACAGTACTCATACTTGTCATTTTTTAAATCAATAAATGAACAAACTGCTTGACTACACCTTTGAAAAGTAAACATATCTTAAAATAGCCTGGGTTTCTTTTTCTTTGTGCTGTCCTTGTGAAAGACTGTTACACTGAGCAAAGACTAACAGTTATAATGACATCACTCACCCTCTTCCAGATTAAAGTTTTGTGATACAGGGGATGGAAAACACCAAAAAAGAGGAAATACCTTTGTACAAAGGAAAAATGGTGCCATTTTTTACAAGCCATTTAAAAAGGAAGCAAAAGCCACCACTTACCAAAGGCTCTGTCACATTCTCATTTGATTGCACTGTAAAGGCAGAGGTATCCTAGATATAGAAATGAAAAACAATGATGCAAAAATACTTGAGATGGGATGTTTCAGGTGTCTGTGAAAATCCTGAGATTTTCCGTGGTTTACTCAGGTAAAGTCATAAGTAAATTCACATAGATAAGATGACAAATAGATAATCTAAATAGGTCTTAATAATAACTGTTAGTCAAGCACTATTAGTATTAAAGACATTACTTTTTAAATTATATATAATATGCTTTTAAACTGTGCAATGTTATTAAAGGCAGTAAACATTTGTTAAATAGAGGTGAATTGCAAGGACTTTGCTTCAGGCCCAATACACTTTTTAGTTGTGAAATTCAATCTTTTTTGCAGCCCACATGTGCCTAGGGAGCAAGCACACTAGCTCTAAGCTACTTCTACATCCTCTGGATTCTGGGCTTTTATGTGAACAATAACTATATTAATTATGGATACAAAATTTTACCTGCATTAAGAATATACAAAAATGGAGATGTTTTCCAATATCTCACTCATACACTTAGGCTTACTTTGCAAAATGCTGGTGGGTCAAATCCTTTTCCTACTGCAGTGGGGGCATCAAATTTTGATTTCCTTGGGGCAAACATTTTGCCTTAATTATTAGAGGTGGTATCTTTGTGCTTTGTCCCTTCCTTCTGGATCCATTACTAATTTAAATGCCCTGGAGCAGAATAGTTAAGCACTGGAAGACATCTCCATCCTTGCATAAGCTCAGCTTTTTTGGGTGCTTTAAAAAAAATGGTGTCCAGGCTGTGCTGTGGATGAGTCAGTCTCTAAAAGGATGCTGGAAATTAATGAGGTCCCAGGTTATCCACCTGAAATTTGGGATCTTGGCACAGCCCTGGAAGTTGAAAGCATAAACATGGTATCTTTATGTGCTGTATCTCTGCGATGCCTAACACAGTTTCACTATCAGCACAGCAGCAAACAAGTAATTTAGGCTTAACTTTCAAATTAAAATATAGCTCAAATTAAAATAAAGGTGCAGAAACAAGTAAAACTCCTTTTATATATATACATATAGTCACTGAAAGTATGTGATATAGAGAGAATCACGCTCTACAGGATTTTGGGATGTGATAAAAATCCACAGAAGAGCCCAATAAAAAATGCTAAAACAGTCCTTTTAGGAGGAAAAAAAAAATATCAGTCCCACTAAAGTAGTCATATTTTTGCTATTAAATTCAATCAGGTCAAAAGTGCCAACAGTATTAACATCGTTCTAGTATCAACTAGGAACAGCTTCTGAGAAGAGCCAAGGTTTGGATTTGAGTCAGTATGACATTGTTGTGCAGCTTGTCTGTAGAAGAGATTTCCTGAAACTGTACAGCCAGTCCTCATCCTTTCCTAACAGCACAGAAAAAAATATTAAAAAAAATCTCAAAACATGTTTATTTCTTACCTGTGCAAATCCATTAAATGCTGTGCTGGATGCCTAAGTAGAAGTGAAGATCAGAACAAATTATCATTTGTTTACTAAATCAGAACATGAGTCAAAACATTTTTATTTGCAAAATAAAAATGTAGACCAGACAAAAAAAAAAATAGAAAAAAAAAATTAAAATGAAGGGTAAGTCAGCAAGAAATTTGACGAGAGTGCTACTTGATAACAGGCATCACAGGCTTAAAGAAAACAAAACAAAAAGCAGAGTAACTTAAGGATTTTTATAAAATAATAATTTAAAAAAAATAAGACTAGGTGCATTTAAAATTATACATATAAAACACAAAACCTGTGAGACACAACGTGCCTGCACAGCTCAAAGCTTCATTCACCAGTTGGAAACACATTTTTGTCAGCCTGCTTCGTTCCAGGGCTGAAGGGCACCACACTATGAACAGTTGCATGGCAGTTTTTCAGAAAAAAAACCAAACCAAAACAACCAAAAGACTAGCACGGGCTTAGGAGGGGCAGTGGGAAACACACAAATGGATTGTTTTGAAAGGACAAGGTTATGCATGGCCTAAGGAACTCTTTGTCTAGACTAGGCTACACACTGGGGTAGGTACCTCTTCTTTATCAGCCTCAATTTCCTGGTACAACAATCCATATCTCCGGTTAGCAATTTCATCTTCAGATAAATCTGAGTTGTTGGTCTCATTGTCTTTAGGGCTAGTTGAACTCTCGGTGCTAGCATTTCTGGAATTTCCCATTTGGAACAGAGTCAAGGGTCTAGCTACCTCCTGGCTTGGTGCAGGACTGCTAATGCCTGCCTGCTCCCCAGGCAAGCCTTGTTTTCCTGCTGCCTCCTGACTCCCACTGCTTGTGCTCGCCCCTGCATCTCCCCAGCTGCTATCAGCCCCTCCTAGGTCTTGCGTAGACCACCTATCACTAATGCCTAACCAAACATTTTCCATGTTACCTTCCCCTGAGTCTTGCTGCTTGGGGAAAAAGGGCCAATTATCCAGTCCGTTGGCTTGGCCATCTGACGGATTAGAGAAACCCCAGGAATCACTAGTAACTGTTGGATCCCAGTTTGCCAGCCAGGGTTCCGTCTCCAAGACTTCAGGAACACCACTGCTGCTAGGAGGCTCTTCAGTGACTGCTGCTGCTGCCCTACCTGTCTCTTGGTCTTCTGCATGACCTAGGCAAGGATTACCATAGCTTGTGCTAGCAGCATCGGCTGTCTCGGGCAGCGATGCCCACTCTTTTTCAGCAGCAGCTTGACCTTCAGCAGCAGCACTACCATTTGGGAGGAAGCTGATGCTATTGTCTTCAGTTCCTTTACCAGACTCTTCTGCACTGAATAGTTCAGCATCACACAGAACGCTTCCAGGATCTGTGGGGTCCTTTTCTGTCTGGTCAGTTACCTCTAGGTCAACACGTGCCGTCATGTTTATACACTCCATGGATGTCCTCTCTGCAGTAACACTGTCAGTTTGGTCAAAGCCATCCTCAAATGTCCTTTCATGGTCCTGATCCCAGATACCAGAGACTCTCTCAGGTTCAGCTCCAGTGCTTTCTATGATTTTACAGTTGTCTGCTCCTACCTTCTCTCCACCTTCCAGCCCTGTGTTCAGCAACGGTACTTCTCTATCTGTCTCCTCAGTGACACCAACCCATTTGGATTCCTCTTCCCTAGGGTTCTCTAGGCTAGCACCACTTTCTCTCCCACCATCCCCACCCTTCTCTTCCACTTCCTGTGAATTTTCTACCTCTGTGCTGACTAAAATTTCGAGATCTGATTTTGCTAAATCCTCATGAAGTTCTGCCTCACTGTTTCCTTGGGTTTTGCAACCTTGCTCTTCCAGTTCCTCTGCACCTTCTACCTCATTGTAGTTAACAGCTCTGGTCTCTACCTTTTCACTTGGCTCGACCCCTGCCAACTCGTCTTCCTCCCGCTCTTCCTCTGCCTTTTGCACATCCCATGGGAGGGGTTTATCCAACAAGCTATCGGTTCCCAGGATGGGTGTCTCAAAACTGGTTATGTTCTCTAAAGGCTGATTGGTCACCACATCTTCCCATGGGACACTTTTGGCATCCAACTGGTCCTCCAGTGAAGTCCTCTGGTTTTCATTTACAGAAGCTGACCCTGGTGCAGCATCCTCCTGCTCACCTACAGCAGGCCAAACACTAGCAGGTAGAGCACCCGTGGATTCGCTTGAGGTTTGCTCTCCCGCAGGGAAAAGCAAAGAACCACCTGCAGAAATCTGGCTGATACTGGGTGTGCTAACATCTAGGCCCCAGTTGAGTGAACCTAGATCAGTTTGAGATCTGTTAACATCTTCTGATGACCCACTGTTTGGGGTTTCCTCCATGATCAGGTTACACAGGGAAAGACTTTTTGAAGAATCAGGCTTTAAGCAGACAGAAAAGCAAAGAAAAAACACAAGATGAAAAAGATAAAGGAAGACTTGATGAGAAAACACAAAATTCATATTTACTAGAGCAATTTTAATTTAAAAAATGAGAGCCACTAAATTAAGCTGCTTAAGGAAAAGCTATGCACTGCAACATTTAGAGGCAATAGATTGCAATGTAGAAGAGCAGCACTGATAGACAAAACCAGAAAACTATATATTACACCAACAGTGAGTAAAGCATGTCTCTAGAGTGGCTGAGGTTTTGGGGGAGGTTTGCTTACCGGCTGCACCAATTCACTGCTTGTCTGTACAGAAGAAAATCACACATACAAAACACAGAAAAGAAGAACATGAGGTACGTTGTTACAGCAGCAGCTCATTCATTAGCAGTTTTCTAATCAGCAGCATTGGTGGTTAGAAAAATGCTTCTCTCCCACCACTCCACGGAAGGCTAATCCCAGGTCCCTGCATTTAAGCCACATTTCCAGCCTCTGAATTACATTAGAAAATAAGTTCTACATGTATGCTGAATATTTATCCCACCTTGTTTTCCTCTGCAAGCCACTGACGTTGTATCCCAGGAACCCCATCACATCCCAGTTGAAAAGAGGGGCTGCTCTGGGAGACAGTGACCAGAGAAGGAACAACACAAGTGGCAGTGGGGATTACTGGTTTCAGAGGCATCACTGCATCACCCAGGCAGTGCAGAGGGCCCTGAGCGTGCAGCTCTGACTCCCCATCACCCTGTGCCATGCAGAGGTGTTTACATCCACACAGAGGAAGGCATCATGTCACAAAACCTCCTGCTGGCACTGCCACTTTGGACAGATACAAATGCAGCAAGGAAGATCCACAGCTACTCTGCGCTCAGCTTACTAAGAGAAACTCAGTGAAAGGTTGAGTGTCCCAAATTTCAAACATTTAGCTGTGAAGCTCACTACTCTTTTTGTAAATTAGAGCAACGAGGACAATAATTATAATACAGAATACATACATAATATTAACAAGCTACAAATAAAGCTGTGTGAAAAGAAGACATTGATAAAGCTATCTAATATAAATTTAGACCAATAAATTCAAAACATTTCTGGGTTGTTTTAGCTAGTCTAGATATTGGCAGCCTTGAAATTTTGGCTAGCCTACATACGTGACTGTTTTTTCAGGCTTTATTTAACATTTCCCAATAGGAAGAGACGAGCATTTAACATACATCATGTATGCCATGTGTTCACAAAGCAGTGCTGCAAATCTGAATGCACGAGAAGCAGCCGCAGATTTCTGTGCTGGCTGAAGCTGCAAAAAGTCAAAAAGGAGTGTACCAGGCTCCACGTCAAGTCAACCAGCCACCTCCATACCATGAAGCCAAGAGAGCTCACAAAAATGGGTTGTTTTCTTTCTGCAGATCATTGTATCTGGTTTGGCATCAGGAGGAAGGATTCGTGTGCCTTCCTAAAGTAGCAGCTTCTCTTGTGAGTAACTCCAGTTCATTGTATGCCCACAAAGATAAGCTAAATTCTCTCGTCACTCCTGAATTTTGACAATATGGTTGTCCACTGGGTTAAAGTCCTGAGGAATTACACCTTCAGCTAATTAAAACAGGTGACTAGCATCCATTCCTACCCTCTAATAGATGTAATTCAAGCATGGAAAGTAAAAGCAACACATTCTCAGTGATAATGTTTGTGAATCTCATTAGCCTAGATTTCTGACTTCATTTAGGTTTTGTAGGCCAAGCAAGAGAGATTATTTTTTGTTGTTGTTGCATTTAGAACATTGCCAGTGCCTTCATATACTTGGAAGTGTTTGTCACAGTCTGTAAATTCTTTATCTTGGCTTTTGGTAAAAGCATCACAAATCTGAGTTTAGGGTAGTACAAAATCAGAGGTACAGAAACATCCCAATTCACCATGACAAACATCAGGCTTACCGTCCACAGATCCCATGGCAATGTCTGAAAAAGGGAGTGGAAAAAAGAAGATCTTAGAAAAATACCATTCCATTACTGTTGTATGTTCAAGATGCTACATGAGCTACATGAGAAGGAACACTGCTGGCTGGGCCCAAAAGCTATTCAAGATGCTTCAAAACATATCTACTATATGCACATTCAGGTTAAAGTCCACGAAAAACAAACTAAAGATGTTCATAAAATGTAAATCTGTTCCTGAAATATTTGCAAATATTAAACATGACATGGAACATCTGCCTGAGCAAGAGGATTGCTGCATTTAGCTTCTGTTCTTGCCTGCTTCTCATTTTATCAGGACAGAATGGCTCTCAACAACTTCTGCTTTCACAAACAACAGATACAGAAAGAACCCACTATTCACATTTACAGAAAATTAACATCAACAGCCATTTCTCAATCAGTTTAATTTGGTTTAAGTCCAGGTGTGTGCTTCTTCTGTGGATGTCATTCACAAGTGAACTCTGCTGTAACATTATTAGTTGAACTTTCCAGGTTCAAGGAAAAATGATAGGTCTGTTCTCTTAGAGTGCTAACTGGTGCAAACCCTTGATGTCCTACTGACTTCCATGGAAAGAGAGAGTGCTCATTTCTTTTTTCTTATTTTTTTTTTTTTTCCCCATTTTCCTTTCATGGCTCAAGAAACTTTGAGCATGAGGGGACAGAAACAAACCGAGGGAAAGGTGGGACAGACCTCAGCTAGCAAACAGAGGAAGGGGCCAGGCATGGTTAGAAAGGCCATTTCTGAAGCATCCAGAGAAACAGAAGAGCAAGTGAGGAAGGGCAGGCTGGGCCTCACTTACTGTGGTCTGATCCCCCTGCCAGAGCAGTGGAGGGAGGCAGTGAATGAAATGGTCAATAGGGAAGTCAAGCCAGGCCTCCTGAGGCATCATGACACAGCTGACTAGTCCTGTCTTCACATCACTACTTCAGCAGCTTGCTGAGGGGAAAATATCTGTGACTGAGGCAAAAAAATATACACACAGAGAAACATCACCTAAGGCTCTCTTCTTAATTTCCCTGCAGGCTAGCACAGGGCTCTCCAAAGGCTGTAGCCACAGGTTTCATTCTGTCTGTGCTGTCATAGCAATGACCCTACCACATCCTGTGAGAGCAAGACCCAGACTGCAGGGCTGTCTTCCCTTCTTCTGAAAACAGTGCTCTGACTCACCCACACGCTCTTGTGGGTGTGGACCACCCTTCCTCATGTACATAGGCTGGGCAGAAAGGTGAAAGGAGGGGAGAGACTGAAGGTGCTTGGTGATTTCCCTAGATGAAAACTTACAATGTACTTTTCTACCTGGAATTATATTCAGTATTTCATGGTACAGTTGAATCTAACCAACTATTTCACTAAACTAATAAACTATTCCACAATCTGTACAGTACATGAGGACAAGCGTGCTCTGTCGCAGAAGTTAAATGTCTTTGGTTTAATGATCCCAGTGCTCTAAGCAGCTTTATTACCAGAAAAGCTGAAAGGGTAGAGTTAGCAACATCACAGCCAGCTTTCTGTCAACTGCTGAATGCCAAGGAATTTCATTCTCCTTCCCTTTCTCCTTCCCCTTCCTCTTTCCTCCTCTTCCCTGTTTAGAAGGAGTTAGAAAAATAAAGAGATGCACAAAGCCTCTGCTATAATGAAACACTTTTCTTAGCAAACCACAATGAGAAATTTCAGCTACTGTTTGGAGTGCTGACAACACAGTTTTTCTGACAGTGCAGAACAGATTAGAGATCACCACAGATCTCATTGCGTAACTAGGACTGCACACCAAGTAAGAGATTAATTAACTGAGGAGGAGATCAGCAGAGAACCAGGACTACCTCAGCCTTAAAGCTTCTTGTCTTCTCACTCCTTTCCCAGTGCTCCATTTCTGAGCAGCTGATTAGTCCTCTCATGTCACACAGTACATGCCAGGTTAGTGATAGCCACAGGGATAAGAGGTTTTGCTAACAGTGTGTTAATATTGTTTCCTTCTTTGTGGACAACACAGAGCTACAGCTCTGCTGGCCAGGGGAACTGCCCTACTGTACTGCCAGCCCTCTGGCTAGTGAAGAGTTCTGGATCTTAAAATAGCAGGTCCCCTCGGGTAAGCTAATGAAAATCAGCAACTGGATGTATCAGCCTTTTTATTTCTTTCACTTTTCTTCTTTTTTTTTTAATATTGCTGCAAGAAACTATTATAGCAAATAGTCCCATAGAATGCAGAATTTCTTTAACACAGCATCCTGCAAGGAAATGCTCCATCCTCTCACTTTGCTCGAGGTTAGGTCTCAAATAGATTTATAAAAGCAAACCCACTCAGATAGTTCCACTGCTTTGCTCCATCACAGCAAAGCAATCACATGCTGACTCCACGAGACCTAGCTCGCCTGAGGCATCTTTCCAGACACGAAGAGTCAAAGGCAGGACAGAAAAACTGCCAGAAAAAGAGGTGCTGTAAAATTATAATGTTGGCACTAAGAGTTATTTCAAAGGTGGAAAATAATGGCATGCTGAAGTCGAGGACAAGATACCAGCAACCATTCTCATTGGCAGACACCTCATTGTACCATCTGACAATGTCTTCTCCTTCCAGTATATCATCAAGTGCAGAGCTACTGAGAGGGAAAGACAGATGTCTGACTAGAGCTGCTCAGGAAGACTGAGTTTTTCAGATACACTGCTCATTAGCACACAGGGCAAATCTCTGCTACCAAACACAGCTCGTTGCCTTCGTATGCTTCCTCTGCCTCAAGAGAAAAAGGTACCTGAGACATGGGTGAATGGGTAACTCCTGTAGGTACAACTTCTGGCTTGAAAGGGTCAAAGTCCAAATCTAGTAAAGATTCCTCCTTCTTAGCTTCAGGAACTTCATTCTGTTAGGAGAGAAATATAACTCTTGAAAAAATCATCTTTCAGAAGCTTCCCTGGGCAGGAAAATACTAAAAGACTCAAGAAAAAAAAAAAAAAAAAATCTATCACAGACTTTCCGGTGACTTTCGTGGTGCAAGCCAGGAGAGGAAGAAACTCTGAAGACCTTCCTGAGCTTTAGTATAACTTTTAATTTTATTTTTATGAGCTTCACTCTTATGATGCCTTTGCTTTCTCTGTAGTGCAGCGTTGCCTTGTCAGGCTAAACAAATCACAGTCCTTTTAAAAAATTGCTGAGTGTTCACTGTTTGACTGTGAAAGTCAAACTTTAAAGTGCTTTGAGGCAGACACTAAAATTAAAATCTACATAAATGGCAGACAACATCCATACATCCTAATAAATGAATCACCTCAAACACAAACATCAGTAAAAAGCCAATAAAGAAGGATGTGAATGCACTTGGACTAAATTCCAGTTCTGAACATGAATACCAATCTCCATTTCATGCTGCCCTTAGCAATAAACTTTAGGAAACACCTTACATAACACCAACTAAATCTCGCTATGCTGATCTGCTCTTACAAAACTGGATTATGTGGTAGAGCCTTTTTTTATTTGCAATTAATGAATTAGCCAAGGCCTCTGAGGTCACTATATATATATATTGGTTCAAGAGGCTACAATTCTTTCCTGCTGTAAAGTAAAACAAACAAATCATTAGTGTGGTTCAACATGAAATTTTAATTAGCACGAAACTGTAGCTGAGATTTAATTATCAGTAATGATAAATACTCTGGGCAAGCATCTTGGTTTTGGTAACAAGGCTACTACTGCCTACTGCTAGTTGTTCAGTGTCTATTAAATACTGAAAGGAGCTTGTCTTGATGTACAGAATATGTAGACAGTGGAGTGTTCATCAGAGTGCTATTTTGAAAAGTGTTCAGCTTGGAAATGGTACCATGGGAAATTATTTGAACACCTACATTCACATATAATCTTATGGAAGAATGGTAACACAGGGTCAGCCCACATAGTCCAATGTCTTGTCCTGATTGTGACCAAAGTGTAGGCCAGGGCAAGTCTACAACAACAGGACAGTCATACGAATAGCAAAACTAGAAGATAATAATAATGGTGGTGATAATAATAGTAAAAGAAACCAAGCCTGTCTATTATTAAAACATTTAAGAGTGTAAACATTCCAAATTAGTGTTGCTATTGGCAAACAGATATTAAAATATAGGCAATGAAGGGCTTCCATATGCTACAAGGCATCTGAGCTCCCTGAGTCACCTGAAAATGTGGTCAAAATATCTCCTCAGCTGCCATGCTAGGAACAACAGAGTGACCTGGAACTCTTCAGCCTGGAAGAGGAGTGCTAGGGGTGATGTGAGGGGGTCCTACCTCAGCATGAGAGGCACAAGGATTTGGCTGCTCCATGACTGCTCCAGAGTAGGAAGGCAGGTGGCAGTCAAGTTGATGGGGGCAGATATGTGTGGAATAAAGAGAAGGTGGTTGTGCTCCATGTGGCACAGAGTTTAGCTGAGGGCCTCCTTGCCATTGGGTAGTGTAAATGTGAAAAATTTATGTTGCTGAAAGACTGAACAAATCTCTGGCAAAGTAGTCTGTTGAGAATTCTTAAATAGGTAGAAAACACCTTGAGGAAGCCCCTGAGCTGCCAACAGCTGAAGGCTGAAAGACTGTAGGAGAGGGTGTAAGGAGTACCAACTTTGCTTGCTGCCTTTTATGTTTTCCCCTTGGTCTCTGCTGTTGGCCACTGGTAATGGTGGATAACTGGTCTGACACACTGAAGCCAGTGTTATGGTCTTAGACTTTAAAAAGTCAAAATTAAACTAGCCCACCCCACCATCAACCAGCTGGTTCTGTCATATTCGTTCTGTCATGCCTTTCATTGAACATATTTAAATTTAATCTCATGTACCCTTGAAGCCCCAGTACTCATATGGTCATACAGCTTCATGACACAACACAGCATTAGCTAGAAAATGATGGAGGGAGAAAAGTTCATTATCTCTCAGTGAAGTCTGAGAATCAAGTTGTTATTTATGAGGACTTTATCAAAGGAATAAAAGTCTCACTTAGGCCATGTGTGATGGCAGCTAAGGTACCTGTAGTGACAGGGTACTGAAATTACCATTACCCACTATCCTCAGACCAAATGAAAGAGAATGATTGTCATAACTTTAGGAACAAAGGCCCAAATAAATGCATAGAGTAACTGAGATATTATGTTGGATGGAGAGTTAGGAGAAACACGAACCTGGGGAAATCCCTCAGAAAGGGATAAAGCTGTGATAGAAAGGCCTAGAATCACAGAATCATTAAGGTTGGAAGAGACCTCTAAGATCATCAAATCCAACCATCATTCAACATTGCCATGACCATAAAACCATGTCCCCAAGTTCCACAAATGCACATTTTTTTAACACCTCCAGGGACGGTGACTTCACCACCTCTCTGGGTAGTCTGTGCCCATGCCTCACTACTCTTTAATTCCATCACAGCGTGGTAAAGCATGAATAAATGCCACATTTGAAGAGGTGGCTGTGGCAGAAGCACATGTATGCACAAAGGATGGAGAAGGCACAAGAAACCTGCAAGGGTGACCAGAACTGCCACCTCCTCTCTGCAGACAATCTGTACAAGCCTTAAAACAGCCCTAGCAGATATGGGTGGTTCACTTCAGAGCTGTTGGACACACTGAAACACTTAAAAGTACCTGGAGGGGGCACATTCTAAAGGCCTACAGTGTTCAAGCTAGTGACTGGACACTAGAGAGCAATGTGATGCAAAGAAAACAAGAAAAAAATTAAGGAAATAGAGCAATGAACACTCCTTTCTAAGTGATCCTTTGATCCAGCCACCCTGATATCACATCTTCTCACCTCTTTCTTTTACTTAGCAGTACTGAAATCTATTGTGGACAATCAATAAACTGAAAGGGTGAGCTGACTTATTGAATCAGGGCCAAAATATTCAACAGCATCAAGCAGAAGTGTCTCTCAGCATCTCACACACACTGAATGCATTAGCACTGCTTGGTAAAGAAAGATGAGCAACTACAATTACAGGTTGGTTGTGTTCCAGAGGAGAAAAGTGTTTGGCCTGTTGGTAATCCTCTCTGAAATATGGGATTAAAGCAGCAAAGCTCCATTCATCAGCCTGTTGGTTTTGTGCCCCTGCAGTAGCACAGTGCCAGGACACCAGTGGTGGTCCTTTGGGAAGTCCTGCAACCATTAGAGGGCTCTGCAGGCTCAACAGCTTCCTCCACCCTGACACAACAAGGGGTCTGGGAGTGCAGGAGATGCCTCAAGCACCAAGAGGAATAAGCTCAGGTTTCCTGTGGATTTCATGGAATGTATTTTCAATAACTGGTTCTCTCACAGAAGAATATAACACCTATACATCACCCTATTTGGGGTATGCCTGTACATACTCAGAGATCTCCAAATAGTAAGGATGCTTTAGTGATGGGGGTGGGCTCTGTGGAGGGATAAGTGTAAATGATTCATGAGAAGGTGGCCAGGGAATAGCTTAGGTCACTCCCAGGTCGTTGACTGTGGAGGAGGGAGGGATGTAAATCACTCACTGAAAAAAAAAAAATCAATTTTTCCTTGAGAGACAGGGGAAAGACTTCAGTTCTCAGGAGCACGCCCCACCTTTATTATGCCATTCCATTTCTATACCAATCTCTTGTACAAAGGATGCAAAGATTCTGGAAATGTGACTTACACTCATTTAAAGCCCTATTCCAGTGTCAGCTTTTAATGGAAAAGCAAACTGGTTCTATTTCTGCTGCCCTGGCTGGACTGACAGGTCAAGTTTAGGTGGGTACAGCAGGTAATGCAGGAGGCCACATCTAGCACAGGTTACACTGACTCTTACCACTAATATCAAGGGTCATGCTGCCCAAATGATAAATCCCATGAAGTCAGGGTACAGTGATCCAACAGATCTGCATCTCTTCTCAGCAGGAGGGACCAGCAGCTGCTGCATACTGGGTGCTGACATTAATTCTTTAATTGTGTGGGGACTTAGTCATAAATAACTCTTTTCTCTTCCAAGTAGATCCTTATGCATGACAATGCCTTCTTCTACCCTCCACAAGAAAGCAAAACATCATGTTCAAATTTTCTGAAAGAATTTTGTCTTCTATTGCTGTGCCTACATTTTCCTGTGCTGTCATATGAATTAGTACAAAAACAATAATTCACATGAAAACAAAAATTCATAAACATTCTGTGTAAGCTTCAGATCTGCATATTTCTCCCCAAGTCTGTCAGACAGAAGCTCAGATTCCAGAGCTATAATTATCATAACAGAAAAAACAGCAGATACCATAACTACATAAAAACTGGATAATTGAATAGAAATTACACAGAATTATTTTACACAACTCTGGCTATTCTGTTTTTTGTATGCCATTTTTAAAAATTTCAGAATTTCATAATAGTGAGATAAAAGTAATTTGGATCACTTCTCTGCTGTGTAACTAATGTTTCTATGATTCAACATCAAGCGAATGAAGAATCCAGCCAAAGCAACCTTTTATACCTGCAAAAAGTTGATTAATACAGCCAAGTTCCATTTTGTTTTAATCACTCAAAAGAAACAAAGGAAATTTTTTTATTATTTTGATGGAAGAAACAGAAAATGAAGGATCACTGTGAAGTGTCACTTGAAATGCTTAAGATTAGAAAGGAAGCATCTTAGATGACTTCTCAGCTTGTAACACAACCTGGATGCAGTTAATTCTCCAACATGGCTGCTTTGCAGGGTTTTTAGTCAGGCTTCTCGGGAAATCTCTAATTTTTTGGAATATGTTAGCAATATCAGGCCTTTTGAGTCATGTGTGGCCCACTCAAAGATAAAACACTGTGTGTGACCCTTTCAAGATAACATAAAATGGTAACTGTGGCACCTGCACCCTCCTCCTCCCTCCCCCCAGACATCAGTCCCAAGGCCACTATCTTGCAGAACTTAGGATTGCAAGGTTAGGCCATACACCCTCCTTTGAAGCTTACCTGTGATGGGGTTGTCACATTGATTTCTGGGACAAAGTTGTCATCAAATAAGTTAATGATGTTCTCCTGTTGCAACTCCTTCGTGGGTGTGAGCTTAGGCAGTGGTGGGACTGGTGGACCTTTCCTCAGCTAGGCAGACAGCAAAAACAGAAGAAAGAGCTTTAAGCTAGGGCTAAACAATTAGTTGGAAGGGCAATATTGCACAGAACCAGGCCTCTGCAGCTTTTTGGCTTCTTAAGTTCATTCTTGTTTAGCTTTGGGATTTTGTCCCTGCCCATCTGTTGCTACCTTTAGAGCTCACTTAAGGCTAAGACCATTTCATCTCTGGGAACCACAGCACCTCAGAGGTGCTTAGGTTACTAATTCCCCCTGCTCTCCAGAGTCACATAACTATGGCAAACTAATTGCTTGCAATAATGTCAAATACAATTGGGTAATTTTAAAATCTGCTAAAACACCAAGAAAAAAAATCTACAAAAATTGCTCAGGTGGTATAGTGACATAACACCATTGGCACCACTAAGACTCAACTGAGTCCTACCAGATGAATATTTGGGCAGTGAAGTGCCACATTTGGGAAATCAGAGAAAACAAGCATGCTCACATGTAGCTAAATGCAAAACTAAATTTCTCCTGATGTGCTCCCACCACAGAAATAGCCATTAGCACAGAAGCTACCCCACTTCTGGAGACATCAGTAACACCACCACGAGTCTGTGCTATGTTCAGGAAGTGTCACACACAACTCTTCTGCTACAGATGAAACTGATTCTTATTTCACCAATATGGATGAGAATAAACAATACCCCAGTGACTCCAACAGTGTCAAACTTCTCAATCCAGTGTTAATAACAACCAATAAGCCTTTAATTATCAGTAATTATCACAGCACTATTTAAGCTAGCTCTATTATTTACTCTTTTAGAGGGTGGCCATACCAATGATACTCACTGGCTAATTTTTTTTCCAGGATAAGCATAAATTTGAAGATGAATGAAAAGCTGAAATACATAATGTACTGAAATCCACAAGGAGGTTTTAGAAATAGGTTTTTCAAGCTACCACTGCCTGTGGACCTCGTAAGGACCTTAGGGATTATGAAACTTTTTAAGAAGCATTTTGCTTTGTCACCACAAGTCCCCACTGTTCAGTGGGCACCTTAAATTTTCTTCATTCCCCCTTATATGAAACCCACTTTCCAGCCATGCTCAAGACACAGGGATGAAGAACCAATGAACAGAACAGAGCGCAACAGAGCCAGTGGCTTCCTTGTCATTTCTCAGCCACAGCCTAGATGAAAGATCCACCCTATAGATCATCTCAGCTATCTTTTACTGCACAAGAGGCCAGTTGCTCCTGCTAGGTGTCCACTTACCTGTGTGGGTGACTTAGGTCGGGCTGGTGCTGGAGATGCTGGTGCCAGCATGTGGTTGGGACTAGCAGTAGGGCTCGGAAGGGGAGAGACCTCCTCTGGTGGGGATGGTGTTTTTGCAATGCGGAGTGGACCTGAATCACTGGACAGAAGCAAAGCAATGGCAAGGACATACATATCATGCTGATTTATGACCTTGACAATTTGATCCAACAGCTGAACAACACCCCTGATGTAATGCCAGTGACCACAAAAGGCAGTAGACACTGGAGATGAGCTGAGCCACCACATAATGACTAAAACTAAAACTGCAATTAAATTAAATTAAAATTCAGTCACCTACAGTGTCAAAGGAAGTTTTTATTTTGAATGACCTTGATTTTTGGAACATCTGTTTACCTGATCATTCTACCTTGTGGAAAACAGAATACCTGCATTTTTTTTTTCAGATTCTCTATTTGAAATCACATTTCACTTTTAAGTTTGTAACTCTCATAAAATGTGAGGTGGATTTATTGTCTTCATTTCACACAGTTCTCAGAATAAAAGGCTTTAAAGATAAAAACCCCGGAGGAAGGCATAACAATGAATAATGCAAATAATTTTAAAAGTTCAGCGACTTTAGAAAGGCTTCAATAAAATAAAACCCCTCCAAGATTATTATAAAAGTATCACTATTTAGAAGGACAGCTCAGCACAACTACAAACAAGCAGTCATCATGTCGAGCAGAACTCTACTAATGCTAAGAAAAGACCCGATGAAGCCCTGAGAAAGAATCTTCCTTCTCCCTTCCCATGAAAGGACTTGGTGCAAACACTGAGACATATTCAGCTACCTAGAAATGCTGCAAGCTTACAGCTCAGGGAGGCTATAAACTACAACACTCCACGACCACAGAACTTGGCGAGAGAAGAGCAAGTCCTAGGCACCTTCAGGGAGAACAGCAGCACTACCTGCTTGAGGAGACCACACCAGAGACATGTTCCTAATGCTAACACAAGAAAAATTTGTCCTTTGGAAAGGATAGACTTAGCTCACACTCACCACCTCTTTCTGTGGAAATATTAAAAGAGAAAAAATAAGCAGTTATTAAGAAATTTCTTTCCCAGGTACCATATTTGCCTTCAAGATTGAGCATTCAGTAGCATACACTTTTTAAAAATATTTCTTTTTATACAGTTCTTAAAAGGAAAGATTGGATGTTGTCTAGTATCTACTTCTCACACATGTAAAGAGGAAAGATGTGTTATCTCACAAAGAATCACTCCTGAGTAGTCTTTTACAACATTATAAGTATTAATGGAAGTCAAAATCGATCCATATTTTCACACAAGGCTCTGTGAAGATTACAGCAAAGAAGAGTAATATGGTAACTAAAAGAAAATATGTATTTTTTAAAAAGGATTTTAAAATAATAGTAAGTTTCACTCTTGTAAAATTTTGACCTCTTCTCTCTATCACTATTACAGTACTGAGAGGTCAAATTATGGCAGAACAGCTACCTTTGTTGCAAGCAAAAAATGAGAAATGCCTTTCTGGCATCTACTGACTGTAAGAATTTACCATCTGATTTTAAACTGCTTTTGCTTTTGTTTTTATTTTAAGAAAAGATTTCTCTTGAAAGGCATTAAAAATATCGTATTTTGTGACTTTTTTTTTTACTTCAGCTTTTATGATGCACTCTCAGATCACATTTCTTGGCTTTTCCCCATGAGCAGAAGAGATAAAAGCTGACTTATAAAGGCTGGGATTCTCACCTAATCATATGCCTTTAGGAGCTAAAATGACACCTAAATACTTCAAGGCTCTAAAAAAAATTATGAGAGCAACATTGTTGTAGACTAAGCATCTAAGAATCTACAGTGAACCTGGCTAAACTGCAACAGCTGAGAATTTGGCTCTCTATCTGAAAGGAAAAATAAATAGGTAATGAAGGAAATTTTGCACCTTAACTCATATTGGGAAGAACTTCATCCAAGGTGCTTTATCTCCTGTCCTAAACAAACAGACCCAGTGATTGTGTTGTGCAGCAGTCACTACACATGGTGTAGGAGATTCCTGCACATGCTGAAACCCACAAAGCCTACTGCAGTGCAATTCACCCAAAGAAGCAGTAAAATCACCTGGGTGCCCCTTGAATGGTGAAGGCCTTGTCTGCGTGCTGATCTCCCAGCTTCGTCATCACTTCGTATAGTTTGTGACATAGCTGAGAAAACAAAACACTTGCCTGAGTTTACATGAAGCACTATGATCATGATTAACATGATTAACAACACAGGTGATAAATCTGGTCTGATAACTGGCCTGATAAATTTTAAATGGCACACAGATCCTTCCAAGAATGCTCAGTCCCATGAATATCAAATGCCTAAGCGGAAACCTACCAAAAGCCACAGAATCAAAGAGAATAGCAGTTCTTCAAACCCATAAGATGGTTTTCAGAGAGCAGGTTTGTAAGTGTGACTCACTGCTGCCTGATCTCTGATAAAAGAGATTGCCTAAAGTTTAAAGAAACATGGAAGAAGATTCACATTTTCCCATCAAAAACCTAATCTAAATTTACATGGGCCTTCGGTCAAGCAAGTTTCCCAAACAATTTTATTCCTACTACTAGGTGACTACAGATAATACACTACCACTGAGCAAGGTACATTCCAAAGATCCCCACTGAAACTGCTCCATTTGCCTATCACAGATAAAATGTTATATTGCTGGCAATGTATATAGCAGTCTTGAAGGGAATGTTTGATGTGTTCTCCTTGTACTGATTAAACCAATGAAATGCTTAGCAATTGGACATGGAAAAAATACCCAAGGCAGCAGTATGCTAAAAAAAATGGAGAAGTTACTCAAAATAGAAAGTGAATTTAGTGCTACAACTGATAATATACTCTTAATTCACAACTGCATGAGCTGCCTTACCCAAGGCAGCAGTATGCTAAAAAAACTGGAGAAGTTATTCAAAATATAAATTGAATTTAGTGCTACAACTGATAATACACTGTAATTCACAACTGCATGAGCTGCCCTTTCCTTAAGGAGAGTACACAACTGGCAAGGAGAAATTAATACAAAGGTTATACTACAAATCTGGATCCAGGGCAATTTCGCACGTGTGCCTCTGCTGCATTACATGACTTTTTCTTGCTGATATGCACATCACATCCATTATACAGCAGAGATTCATTTTTACTCACTAAAGCTATTTCCTTGTGAAACTTGGCTTCGAGGCTGGATACATTTTTGAAGGTGTTCACATAGAAGCCAACTCGTCTGTAGAGGATGGCACAAAGAAAGGAAAAAGAGAATAAAAGATAGGGGAAGGGGGACCACAAAGGCAAAGGAATTAATTTTTTTTCCAGGCTACAAGCAACATTCTTGACTATTATTCTCAGCAAAGCAAATAATTGGATGGAATGTCAAAATTTCAGACTAGCTCACTGATGATTATTTCTGTTTGTGTTAAGAACCATCACATTTCATGCTGCACAGAGCGAACCAAGTTGAGACTGCTTCACAGTGGGGACCCTCAGCTTGTTTTAGAAAAGTGGAAGATTGGAAAGGGTTGGTGTGAGTGTGGCACAAGCACATGGAAGGCAAGGTGCTCTGAGCATCCCATCTCTCACCAGACAGCAGGCAAGCACTGACTGAAAGAAGAGAGGTACTGCTCCAGCACTCCACGTGCCTGTGCCCTCGGTGCTACCACAGCACCTGGGTGATGCAGGAGCATCTGGAGGCAGCTTTAAGAGATACAGCTCAATATGGCCTGGGGGTGGGTGGCTCAGCCCTCCTGAATGAAATCAGCCTTGAAATACCTGCATATGTACCTAAGAGAAAATAATTTCTAATATAGACCAGATATTTAAAACTTTCATGTGTAGTTTCTCCAAACTTTTATTAACAAAAATAATCTTTGGTGTAAGAATGCAAAATGCCAACTAAATGGATTATTTTCTTCCTGAAGAACTGTAATAACTAAAAAAAAGGGGCTCTGAAAGCAATTGCTTTCTAAATTATGCCTATAGCTCAAATTAAATTCTGCCTCTCCCCGAGACTAGTTACTGGGCAACACGCATACTGAAATAAAAGGGCCCTTACTCTGAATCATTCATAGGTTATTTTACTTTTAGTAAGCCCATAAAATAAATATCTTGAAGTGCTAAGAAGCTTTGCAACTGAAATAGGCAGAAACACAGCAGGATAACCCTCTATTGATCTGAAATTTAACAGGAATTAACTTAGAAGGCAGAGAATACAAAGGATTCTTCAGTGATGCACAACACATTTCCACTCCAGACTGTCATTTGTGAAAGAACATAGCACACTAATGAGATGTTTATTTTTCTACTGCCTTTGTTCTCCAATTCATTTTGTCTGTATTTCCTGTATAAACACAATGAATGACTAAAATCTTGAATGACTGATCTATGCCATCAAATGGTTTTACTTTGCAGACATAGCCCAGGCAAAACTATGAAATGTGTACTCTCATCTAGTTATAATGCAGGTTTTCCTATGAAAAGTGTATTCTCATGTAGTTATAATACAGTTTTTACCTTCCTCTCCTTCACTGGTGATACCTTACAGGAGCTTGGAAATGACAATTGCCATAAAATCTTCATAAATTTGTAAAATTCTTTGTTTCAACACCTTTTACAGAAAAATGACCTCTAGGCAGACTCATTACAAATCTAAAAAAGCATGTGGCTGCTCTGTACAACTACTTTTGACAGTGGAAATATTTGATCCTTTTTACTAACAAGTGACTTGTTTTTTCTGGAAGATATCAGGTATCCACCACTGAGGTGTTTGAGAAAGGTTATGGAAGCATTGAGTCATAGTCATGATCTGGCCTTCTGTGCTCTAACACAGTTCTTTACCCATAAAATGGAGACTTTTTTCCACCTCAGAATGAAGATATGATAACACATCTTAAGTGTCAAGGTACACTGAAAGAGAGAAGCATAAATACACTTATAGTAAGTATAACTTTGGACCATTTGCAGGCATTTTCCCTTTTATTGTCACAAAAAGAGAATGGATGGGATCTCCAAGAAGCCATCAAACCATTTGCTATCAGAGCTGATTAAAATGGTTCCCTTTCCTCACTCCCCCTGGAGGCCCTCCCAGGCTTACCGTGACCACAGTGATGGCAACTCTTCTTGCAAATCAGTGTTAAACTCTTCAAACACTTTCTGTGCCTTCTGAAATTCTTCTTCTGCCTAAAACAAAATGGAACAGGGTGACTCCTGCAACCACTACGACAGAGCAAAGCCTGCCAAAATTGGTTTTGTGCATTTTTTTTGTGGTTCTTTTACTGTTTGTATTAACAAGGACATGACTCAGTCCCACACCATGCAGGCAAACACAGGACTTGCTGTCCCCTCAGTCTCATCCAGAGAGAAAGTTAGGGCTCCAATGGGACTCCTGAAAGAGGCAGAGCACACCCTCCACAGGCACCAAAATACTTGGTACACATTTATGCTTAAGATCATTATTTCCACTTCTGAGAGAAGAAAAAGAAAACAAACTTTGTGCTCTATCTCTGCACAGAAAGAAATGCCACCCGAGCTCCTGAAGTCTTCAGCCAGCATCCAGTTGTGCTACCTTGGTAATTCTGCTTTCATCTTTTCTTTTTGAGCTCTGCAGGGCTTCTAGATGGTGCCTTGCACTGTCGTAGTCCACTAGTTTTCTGCTTCGTTTTGCAATGCGAGTCTGTACAGGGTTAAAAATCAAAGTCAGCACAAATAACACTTTTTTTTAAGAGCTATTTTACCTATGTTGTCATTTAAGTCTTGGATATATTTTTATTCTCCCTCATCTGCTGTTCATATCTGAGTTTCTGCTGCATGCAAGAACATAAACATGGTAAAAGAGACAAACTAATCACCTTAGTTTACATAAGGAATCCATTTACAGATGGCTTGGAAGGTTTTTTTGTGGGTGTAGGGCTTACAGGCTTTAGAAGTGAGATAACAGTGTTTCACAAGACTTGCCTCATTCTCCAGAATAAGTGGACCTGTTAAACTCATGGTAACACCATCTTTTTCCCTTATTTAGTGTGTGTAAATTTAATAAATAATCTAAGTTTCTTACAGAGTTGGAAAAATATTTAAAATATACTTTGCAGTATAGCTGTTCTGACATATAACTGAGGTAATATGACTTCAGCATACAATAGGGATTCTAATTTACCTGCTATAATTCTTTAAGAACTAAACAAAAGCCCTTTGACATACTGACTTTATAAAGCTATATAGTCTTATGTATTCTATGTAGATTCCACATGCTGAGAGGGCATAAGCCCAGTATGATTTACAAGTAAATTTGAGACTGAACATCAGTAATGCGATTTTTTAAATTATTTTTTTCTTTAGTCCCTTATGTAAATGACAAAGGGGATGGCTGCGTGATACCTACTCAGTTATAAACCATCACAAAGAATTTCAGCTATTCAAATATAAAAGTACCTAACTACCACCTGTAATGATTCTTTCTCCCCACACATTTAACTTAGCAACCATCTCCCTCAATGAACATTGGACAGGCATACAGGAGAGGCTAAAATATGCACAACAGTCTTTCCTGATGTGTATTACAAGACTTTTGTTTTTATAATTAATTAAAAGACAGGAACCATGGCTTAGTTAGGAGAAAGATATTTAGATACCCACAGATGCATCTAGCTATAACAAAAGGCCTGCTTTTTATGTTATAATTTGTGTGGCATTTTAACAGCTGAAGAGCTTAAAGTGTCCCCATTGAAGTCATTGAGAATTATACCAAAAAAACAGGAGCAGGAAAAAAACATATTAATTTTATCTGCAAAGGGTAATTTACTTCCAAGTACTACTTGAAATATATTTTTGTTCACTTGGATAACCAGTGCAGCCTAATGTCAAGTATTTACTTCCAGAACAACACCTTTTACATTGCAGAAGAGATGACTTCCACCCCCCCTGCCTTTTAAATTTCTCTTGGTAATCCCATTTTCTATCTATTTTTCTATCTATTTTATCTACTCAACAGCAATTTTACAAATTGTCCTTTATAGGAAATCATTGCTGTACTTTGATATCAGGAAATTGTCCTAGATATGTATCCAAGGTCAGCAACGATCCATCCACCAGTTTTTGATGGAAGTCTTCCCAAAGTTCATCACACTTCTGTAAAGGCATAAAAGAGAAAAACACTCTTAATAGTTTAATTCCACTCCAAAACTGGAAGAAATAGAAATGTGATTGGTAAAGATTAATCTGTCTGAAGATTTAAAATGTTCTTTATGGCAAAAATCAGAGTGCACTTACAAGATAAATTAAAAGAAATACCTGGACATTGCAAGTTTTAATTCACAACTGAAGAAGATTTAGCTTAATAAGAAGTTTGTGTTTTCAGTCTTTCGAATAGTAACTGCTATGAGAAAATAAGGACATCATGGATTCAAGGTCTTCATCAGGGTTTCAGGTCCCTGAGGGGCAGCACCACAGAATATGAAGCTGCCAAAGTTCTCACACCTAAGTGTGTTCACTGATGATGAACCTGCCTTACAGAGAAAAGAAGTGCAACTAAAAAGAGAAGAGTATTCAAAATAAAGGCAAAAACAAAGTGAGTTTCCCATCAACTATAAGGATTTGTAAGCTTAGCTTTGCTTGGTCATTTTGAAAATAAAAGCTGTGGAGATCCACCCAAAGAAATGGGTGGAAAAAAAAAAACCATTTCAAATCAACCCACTGGATGAAATGGTTGATGGACAGACAAGAACCCCACCTTGCACTGCTAGAGAACTGGGTTGCCAGATAAGAAACATGCCAATATCAGCAGTAAAAATAACACAATACCCCCCAGAAGCTACAGTGCTTTTCCCATGTCCCCTCTGAAGCTCTGGGATAGTCACCAAGAGACACCCCGTGTAGTTTTCCAGTTTTTAAAACATGCTGGTGCAACTGATGTGACAAGGACCCTGTGGGGAGCAGGGAAATATTTCCTGCCAGAAGCAAATCCTGTCACACAGAGACAGTGCTTGAGGTCCTGGGTTCTCAACTGCACAAGGCTTTAGTATATGTTAAACATCCTGATCCCTACCCCCCTTTTATTTTTTTTTTTTTTTAAAACATTTCAAAAATCCCTGAACTCCCTCTTTTGATGGGAGGGAGGCTAAAGGAGGAGAACACTGCTCTGCAGGGCTGTTATCCTCACCGGCGTGTCCGGGAAGCTATTCCCCAGTGTTTGTTTTACCATGAGCTACTATAGGGCATATTATAAATGCTGTTTGATGCCAGCTTTCAGTTCACTCATTTCCTACCCTATCGGAGTCCCTAATGAATTATTACAACCTATTAATCATTCCTAAAAGTAATACCTCATTTATTAACACAATATTTAATCACGGTGGTCAACAGAGCAGCATAGCATTAGATCTTGCCAAGCAACTGCCAGTCTTGTGCATTTGCCTTTGTATCTTGCTGATACATATTTTAGACAAATTAAAACCATAGAGCTTTTCTGAAATCTAATGGGCTCAAAAAACTGAAGAGTCCTTTAACCCACTATCTTTTCCTGCTACTTACAGAGTAAGGTCAGGTAGATAGATCCCTTTTGGAATGATCATTTTAATATCCTGGACTGCACAAATATATAATTCTTTTTTACTCTAGGTTGAGGGTTGCATAAGTCTACATTTGTGATTACATAGGGAAAAAACATCAGATGCAGAGATTTTGTAATATTGTCCTCATGAATCTCTAATTAAGAAGGCACAACTAACACTCACCCCTATATCTGACAGAGATTAAGAGCCAAATTTTGGTCCTTTCACACACAATTACTGAGTGTAAAATCCAATAGTCTACAGATAAAAGATGAGGCACTAGAGCAAGATGCAGCAGGAGATCTTGCAGCTGTCTAACCTAAAGCAAGAGAAATGGTAGGGTATCTTAACACTTTTAATTTGGATGCTTTTAAAATCAAAACCACGTCACGCCTTCAGCAGCAGGGAGGGGCAGAGGAAGGCAACCACAGAGAAGGAACATTGCTCTGTCTTCCAGTTTCTTGTTAATTATGTTATCCAGGAGGCCCTGCAAACTGAATGCCAGCTGGTTGAAAGCTGCACAGATCACAGTTTGCACTTTCTTGTCACTACCAGCACATTTGCTGACAGACTTCCCCCAGAATTACAGCTGTTTAAGCAGGAGATTCAGAGCACCTCGAGTCCAATTCCTGCTGTGTCCTCTAGAAAAGCCCATTCTCCTCTAACCACTGCAGGAAGCTAAAAAGGTTAAAATAAATAGTGCCCTGCAGCCTAATTTGCCCTTCAATTCCAGACTGGAATTGGATTGGGCAAGCGTCCCATCAGATATCCTGTTGAGTGGCTCAACAGTTGTTACACAGCACACACAGAGAAGCAGATTTGATAATTTTTAACATCCAATTGTAAGATACCTTGTACAAACTTGTCAGTCAATGGCTATCAGGACCAATTCTGGTCACACTGGTGATGGTGACCTCAGAGGGAGCTTACGTCAGCCAGTTCATAAAACAGACACTGCAAATGCTGCAGCTGGTCAGCAGGAGGTGCATTGCACAAGACCAATAATTTCTATGCTTGGAAAATTAACACACAACGAAGAATTAAGGGAAATTTTGGATGTGCACTTCTCCTCAACAGCTCAGATCAATCCACTTACAGCCAAAATACTCTTTTTCTTCTTTCCACACGTCTTACCTCTCCTATCATTTTCACATCTTCTCGTCCATACCAATCTGGCTCATACACTTCATGAAGAGACTCTGTAAGCTTCTTTGAGGCATCTTGCATCCCTGCAATTAGACAGAAGGGAGAACATATAACTGCAAGCCACAAGAAACTTTTGTTAAGTATCTTTATTTTGACTCTGATCTCCCCACTATACTATTCCCTCTGGCATGTTTAGAATATAATTTTCAGGAGCTGAAACAAAACCTTTATTTTCACCCAGCTCCCCCAAGTAAATGAGAAATATCCCTAACAGAAGGATTAACCTATATTTATATGCAGAAAAAAAAAGGTTGCTATTAGATTAGGGATTCAATTTTCTATTCTGAACTAAACAGATCTGAACATTAATAACAACTCAGAGGGTAGTCCTGCCCACTGAAGACATGTAATACCCTGTTGAAAGGCTACCACTGAAAAGACAATCAGACACCTGTCTTTGGTCCTTCTCAGCTCTTCCACCCTGCAGAGCAGCTTCCTACCTTGTCTGTAATGGATACCACACCAACCTGTGTGGAAGAGGAGGCATTTCAAGGGTTAAAAAGGCAGAGATTTAGAGGAATTACTGGCTGTAAAATTTCGCTTAGGAGAAAAGCTAGAAGAAGTATGAGCTAAAGAAAAAGTGTTGCCCAGAATGGGGGAGATTTCTCCATTTCCTTGGTTTCTAAGATATTTAAGCCTTGAGAGCTTTCTCATATAAAGTGAAAGTGGTTGAGCTCGCTGTTCTTGTGCCCACAATGATGATGGTCACCTAAAAAGGTCCATTTATAATGAAGCAAAGGACCGGCAAGAGCTGAGACAGCATCTAGAGAAAAGAGATTCCTGGACCTGGGGACAGTGTCATAATGGACCTGGTTTTATGAAGGATTATTATCTTGTGTGCTCAGCCAGTAGGTTTGGAAGTATGTGGAGCTCAGCACTGATTTACACCTGCAGCCAGGTGGTGTCTACAGAGAAATGTGCAAAGCCAAACTGCAACAGTCACCTCTGGAGCTCTGCTACCACAAGTGAAACAAGAACAGGGACTACTGATGGTTATCACACTGTAACACACAGAGGAGCTGGCTTAAATGTAAAGCTGCTTCAATGATATTATGAGAAAGAGCTTCAATCTAACTTCAGTGAGATCAGTTTGGCCCTGGGTGAATAAATGATTTCCCTCATTTAAAGCACTGGGGTTTGCCTCTCTATTTTGATGGAGCACCAAAACATTAGATGTTGAATATGGTTCTGAATGCAGTGAAACCCAAGTGATCTCACTTAGTATGCTAAGATTCAGTTCAGAATCAGTAATTTTAAAATGACAACTTTGTTGCAAAATCTGAACAACACTGTTAATGTTTTTATCTAGCACTAATTTTTTTTTAAAAAAAACCACATTTTGTCTCCAGCCAAAGTCTGTTTGCTGCAGCACATCTGTGCTGTCTTGAAAATACCTCTACTGTGATCATGATTTAACTGCTCAGTGGCTGAATTTAGAAATCACACCAATATTTCTGTTTTCTGCACAAGGAAGTGTTTAGGAGTGGAACAGAAGAGTTCACTAGAAACTTGAATGTCTAGAAGAGTGAACCTGACCTAGTCAGTAGGTATTCCACCATACACTCCAAAACACACACTCAAGATAAAGAGAGGAAAATAAACATAGTAGTACTGCCTAATATAAAAATAGTGGTCTATAGAATGAGTAGGGAAGAAAAAAGGGTACTGAAAACAATGAAAGTAGATGGCTGTTCTCAGATTTTGGGGTCAAGGGAGAGCATGACATGGGACAGGGGGAGAACAAGTACAAAGAAAACCTGGTGTTCAGAGGGCACAAGCTTTCACCCTCAAATTAAAAGGTGCTGAGCCAAAGCAGAATATTTGATTTCTTTGTGGATTGTCTCGAGGGTGCTTTTTAACATCAAATCTCTGCTCAAAGAATTGGTATAACACAAGAACTTAAGGCATATTTCTTCTTCTTCTCCTTTGTGCTTAATGCTTAAGATGATGCATCATCAACTAAGAAAGGGGTCCTGAAAAAAGGGGCTTTTTTGCCTAGAATATGGCAGACTAGAGGAAAATAAAGATGATCTGCACACACTCCTACTGCATCTATACTAGGCTTTACTGCAATACCCCAAAAGACTATGTAGGTAAATACCAACCCCAGTGGCTTTTCATGCCTGTGGCATTAACTTACAACATCCAACAACTTCTTTATTTGGCTGGTTTTCCCAATTTCTTATGCACTGCTGCCTTTTATGCATTATTCAGCACTAAAGTTAAGAGGATTAGTGTCTTGGCCATAGACTGCAGGCTGTCTCTCTCTGCTGTTTTTAACTGCTATCACTGAGAAAAAGAAATTGTTTAAAGTAAGTAATTAAAGGACTAAGAAATGTGAGAACCATTTTTACTGCTGATGAACAGTTAGAAATTTGTATTTAATATCTATTCTTTAATTTAATATTTCTTCTTATTAACTGGGTCACTTCTTTAATAACTGCAGATGCCAAAACAATTGAAATGCTTAGGAAAAATGATGCTAAATAATCCAGTTACTGAAGCTACTCTCCAGTTACCCTCAGATGAAATAATCTCTATTTCTATGGCAGAGTCCCTACCCCTGGAATGCCAAAAGACTCCCTGAGGTCCTCATGTGGCAGGGATCCTGGGGATGATGGTGCAGAGATAGCCCCATTAAAGCATCTTAGAGATGGCAGAGAGTATGTGACTCTTTGACATCACTTCAAATGTACTCAAGCTCCCATGGAGATTGAGACTGGCCTGAGAGTCCATGCTGGCCTTGGGATCCATATACTATGGGGACTCCTCACTGCTGAGCAGGGAAATCTAGGCTAAATCATGGAGAAAATTCCATTTTCCTGATGGAGTGAGACACCTTGGTTTGGCTCTTAATATTTAATTGTTTGAATGGGGAAGAGAAATTCATGTGCAATTCTCCAGAGAAGTGACCTATCCTGCCATAAGGGTTGTTAACTATTATTGGTGTTTACACATTAGAGTCTCCACTGGAACAACTCAATCACTTCAGAAGTTGTCACTAAATTTTACACAAAGGTGATGAATAATTCTATTGCTTCTAAAAAATTACATGATTGATCTTTAGATTTGTGTGTCTGGAGGTCACGTGCAGTTCTGTCAGCCACAGATTGACAACCAGGCAGCAAAAGTGCTTACAGACCTCCAAAATCTCCCCTTCCCTTCCTATAGAGCAGTTATTATTTCTCACCACATTAAGCCATCTGAAAACTATGGTGCTTCTTTTTCATGATGCAGGATTCCCTTCTACCCCTGCCACCTTCATGCAGATCCAGGTTTGTGTCTGCCCACCTGCATGCGTACTTGCAAAGGGCTCAAAGTAGAGAATGGGAGGTTGATTTAGGGTTTCTTTAACAACTGGCCCATAAAGTCATCTACAGCTCTCAAAAGCTTGGAAAAAAAAAAAGTAATGAAGTAGAAAACCCAAATACACGTTGCCAAGGAGACTGGAAGAGAGACAGAAGACTGAGGGATGAGATGACTATGGCTATGGGGATAGAACACAGTCTCCTCAGAACAAACATCACTGAGACACAGCAGATGTTAAACTATCATGCAGGTGAAATAAAACAGCACATAAAACCCATTCAAAAGTTCAATAACTTTATGGCATGGTTCCTCTGAGACCTTGAGTAACCAGCAGTAAAGATCAAGATTGAGGTAAGACTAAGAAGCACCTCTGAGCAAGGAAGGAGTCTGAATACAGAAAAAATTCTTTCAAGAATGCATGATACTAAACCTCAAACTGTCACATATATTAAAATGAAGAGATAGAGACTCTTAAGAAGGCTCAATTGGCAATACTTTACTTAAATTGTACACAGATCTTATACTTTCAACTTCTAATATCCAGTCACTCAAGTCATACAGCAAAATGAAACTTATTACTGGAGTTCACAACATACCAGCTTCATAAAACACTTAATTAGTTAGCTATTTTGCCAGTTCCTGAAACCCTTTGAAATGAACTGCTGTTATCACACCTGCAAGAGTACAAAGATGTCAAGTGTATTATTTTCCAATTATAGGATTGAGCTTTTTCCCTGCAAAATGAGCCTGATGACAGCACATCTCCAAGGCTCAGGTGTCCTAGGTGCAGAAATCCCACACCAGTGCCTAAATCTGGGCATCCCCATGCTTATGTGCACAGCCACCCCAAAATCCTTTAATGATGGCAGTCCTTCAAAATAACAACAGAGAGTGCAGCAGTTGCTGGATCTGCTTCTGCCATCCAAAATGCAGAAAGCTCTTTGCCACAGCTGAGCTATCAGCTTTGGGGAAGCCCCAGCTAGAGCTGTGTATTGTGGACCACTGTCCTCTCCACAGCATGAAGGTGTGCCAGCATGTGTGCCAAGGATGCCACTGGTGGCTTGTTGGCTTTGGAGAATAACATCTTTAAGGCTCTTGTGGGCTGCTTATAACTGGGTCTTTTTTAAGACATGAAGATGAGGTGTTAGCAAACACTTGTCATTCTCAATAGGAAAGTCACTCCTAATTATTTTCCAGTGTGGGCTTACAGGCTGCAACAAGGGAAAGATGCTGAATGCTGAGCAGAAAAATGTCTAAAAAGGCAAAACTTATACAAAGAAAAACTTCACACCAGGCTAAATCCAAACCTTAGTGCAAAGAGTAGCCTACTAGACAGTAAACCAGCAAAAGGACACAGATGCCCAGAGTGCTAGGAAGAGAAAGAGAAAATGAAACCTGGCCAGGAGGATTGTTGTCACCAACATGGAAGTCAGAGCAGCATGTAAAGAGTCAGCCTGCATGGCACAAAAGCCATCCTGGCCAACAGCCTTATCACACTGCTGCTGAATATCCATCTGATAATGGCTGTGGGGGAGGGATGACTGAAAAATAAGACAGTAAAATCAGCATAAAACGGGCCCCCAAAAATTATTGATGCTGAAATTTCCTCTAAGAACAGAAGGCATTGTGCAAACCCCTACAAGGTAAAATAGCATTTGTCTGGTACAGGATTTTCCTTGCCCAGACCATCAAGCAAATAAGAGATGTTCAAACGCATGATGCTACTGCTTTGCTCCCCAGTTTACAATTCCCATCAAAAAGAACTTTCCTCTCTTTCTACCAACAGCTGAAACTTTATTAGGACATAATAAATAAAGCTGAAGCTTTATCATGGCACAGTGATTTCCAGGGATATTAATACTCATTTGTAACATTTTCCTTACTGGACTGGAGCCAGGCTGGAAATATATACATGTGTTTATATTTATCACACACAGACATATATTGAAATATATATTTATCTCAAGAAGACATTACTGTCTCTCTATCAGTCACCAACTCTTATTCCTTTCCTTTTAGTACCTGGCCTCCAAGTCCTCCAAAGAGATGAGGTATGACAAAGAGAACTCTGCATAGAGTGCTAAATGGAGTTATCAGTGCCCAGTAGGATTTAAATAGCTGTTTACCCAATCTCTGATATTTAAGCAGTGAGCTTCTGCTACTTGGATTTTCAAAGTAGTACTGAAAGAGATCACAATTGTTTTTTAAACTTTAAAAAAAAAATGGATTAAGCAGTCAGAACCACATGAGAAATCATAGCATTGCAGGAAGTATGATTTTGGAGGAAGATAATCATGCAACTAGTAGTAGCTGGAAATGCTACAAGCAATCCCTTGCCTTGCATGGGGTATTTCACATTCTAGTATTTGCAAAGATGAGCAATGAGACACACAGATTTTGTGGGTGCTCAAAATGCATGCAATGTGAGAGTCTGTGCAGCAGTGCTGCACACAGAGGACAGCCAAGGATGGGCTGTGCATGCAAGACTGTACACACAGGAGTTGACATCCAAGGTGCAGAATCCCTAGCAACAGACTAAGGAGCCTGTGTGCTGCATCCAAAGCAGAAATGTGGGTGGCCAGTGACAAAAGCAGTATTACTTGTATTTCTCTTTCTATACCTTAAACAAGCCTACATGTCTCAACTTTCTAAAAAAGTTTGCTTTATGAAAACATGACATAAAACTTAAAAGTCACCTTTGATGGCTGCTAAATATCCTCTCAATTCTCTCTGGAGCCTGGAACCCTCTGCCTGAAAAAAAAGAAGAATAAAAAAAAACAAAAAACCAAGGAAGTGTAAACACATTTCAGTAATATTTTATGCTTTAAAACATGCATATAATATGTCAAACTTAACAACAAAAAATTTCAGGAGCTATCTGATGAATAGCATCACATGTTGCAAGCATCCACAGGTTTATACAGAAAAGGTGGCGTGGTCAAGATTCTAGACATAGTGTACTCTCTAGGCTAACATTTCTGTGTCTATTTAATCAGTTATCTGCACAGGGAAGAATTCCAATCAAAGAAAAACAGGTATATTTTATGATCAAGGTTCAGTTCAAGTGAAGTTTGACAATGTCTTAACCTGAAAAACAAAGAAGCATAATTAAGAACTCAAGAAACAGCTTAAATAAGGCTAGTCCAGACCTGCAGAAAATAAATCCATGTCCTTACATAAATGGCTTCCCAAGTATTTCAACAGTTTGATATTTTACAAGCAAATAACTACTAAAAAACAACAGGATTAGTTATTTTGTTTAGCCTGGCTAGTACATCTTGCAATCTGTTGTGAAATCTCAACTGTTTCTTTGGCAAGTACATCGAAATGATCTTTCTTTATCTTATACCATCAGCCTTTGACAGACTCAGAATAGACAAACCAAAATGGATTGATTTACTTTACCTCTGACTATCACAAGCTGGACTTCACAGATCCTAGGATTTGCAATAAAACCTGTGCTACACTAGAGCACATACTTTATTGCTGAACAGCTGTTGTCCAGGACACCTTCAATTTTTAATTTTGGAAACACTCCACATTTATCAGTTCCAAATATCTTTCAAATTATTTATTTAAGCAGTTGGAAACTATAGGAATATCAGTTCACAGTCACATTTTCTCACATACAGCTACACCATATGTTAAAATCAAGCTAGAAAATATGACTGACTGCTTTGGACTTTCATATTTTTCATGTGAAAGTCAAAACTCAAAAGGGTGCATGTGTGAATGCTTCAGAAGGCAGAGTCTCAAGTGGTAGAAGCTGCTGTAACACCACTTAAGTCAAAGGACTTCTGATGTCAGTAAAGGATTTGCCATCAGCAACAGCAATGCTGAGAGCATTCAGACACAGGACTGTAAGAAATTCAGGTCGAAAGGGACCATCTGGGGCTTAAAATCCATCTACCTGCAGCCACGTTAAATCCAAATGCTGATTCTCAAAAAATACTCACTTGCCTCACCACTACACACATTGCAATGCAGATCAAACTCAGCCACCAAACTCACTTGGCTCTCCCAGCTCCCTGCAGGGATCTTTGGAACTGAAACAAGCCCTCCCCCCGGCCCCCCCAAATCAAAATGCACCATAAGAAAAGAGCAACTGTTTTAAGGTCCTGGAAATATTAAAGAATTTAGAATGTAAAAATGCCAGAGTGGGCTTGGAAAGCAGACTGAATTCACTTTATGGATTAAATGAAAAGAAGGTTGCTTTTCCACTTATTTGATCTGAAGTAAAATGGCTTTTTGAACATAAATCCATTAATCAACTAAATTCTGAGCACAGTAATGGACCTACCAGGGTAATATGTTAGAAGCTGCTGAGAAACAAGAGCACAGGAGCATCCAGCCCTTCAATCTGTCTCAGGTTTTGGACCATATTTGACGCTCCAAGGAAAGGCTAACCCTTCTCTGAATGTCAAAGTAGGGGCCAGACAGGCCCTGGTTGAGTATCCAGTGGACTAAAACCTCAGGCTTATTTCCTTAGAACCCAGCAGAAAGTTACAAAAGTAGCGGTAGCTTGAGCTTGTGTCCCTTAAGAAAATACATACATATACATCTTAATGCTGTGAAGTAAAAAGTAGTACTCCAATGCATAACAACACATTTTATTGTCCTACATATTGCCCTAACACACCTCAGAAGGTGACTTCTTTCTTCTTCTTTTCATGCTAGAATGGGAGGCAGAGAGATGGCAGAAGCTGCTTTCTGAGAAGCAAGGCATTAAGTGAACAGCTTTGCAAAGGAGACTGAACCCAGGGACAGAATTCCCACTCTCAGATCTGAAAAGTATTCTGAGAAGTCACATGAAGGCAAAGAAATTATCTTTACAATTCTTATCTTCTCTGGCCTGAGTGCTTGTGGTGAAAATGAGAAGCAGATACAGCAACTTGATTCTTCATCATGGTCCAGCTGAGCAGGTACCCACACAATGAGAATTTTGGATGTTACTAGAGCAGCAGAACACAGCTTGAAGGCTCAGAACCCTGTCAGCTGTCCTCATGTCCAGCAGAAGGTCTATATTTATTCATAAACGTGTTATTTTGTCACTAGGAGAAGCTAGCACACCACGGAAGGCATGTCAGGACACAGACACACTGCTCAAGCACTATGTTATGTTTTAAACTGTGCTGTGTAGTTTCACAACTGGTGCCCTAAACCTCTGTGAGATCTGTTGTGGTTGATGAGCACCGTGCGTCACCAGCAACCACTGCCCAGCAGAATGCAGAAGAAAAAGTCAAAGCAGTAAAAATTAATGCAAATATTTTGACATATGTGCTCTTATAAATTCTGACAATTCATTCAGAAGAATAATTTTAACACAAATCTTCCTCAGTCTGGGTTATTAACAGGTCACAAACCTTTGAAACCTCTAAGCAGCATAGAGCCATATGAATCCTTCCTCATTAGCAAATGTTGCATGATGTGACATTAAAGCATCCATGGGAAAAGCCAGCTCCCACTGAATTTGAGAGAGAATCTCTCAATGGCAATGAAATTAGATCTTTCTATAAAATACCATAAATAAAAATTAGCAGTGAAATTCCCCAGCCCTGTGAATTCTGCAAAACCTGCCTCTGGTCTACACATTTTGTTACAGTAAAAGTACTATTAGTGAAAATAGATAAAATTTTACCACATAACAGACTAACTGCTATTCACAGGATGAAAATACTCCACTGCTGGCTCCACATATCTTGCAAACTGTGACATATAGGTTTTTAAAAGTCACATATTTAATATTGTCCCATCTCAGTGTTTACTGATACACTCCCTCTGTTCTGGTCTAGCAGATGAAAGCATCTGGTGGCTCTGAAACCACTCCTCCAAGTATCTTCATTAAGGCTATCAATTTTGTAAATTGAGATGCAGCTTCTTGAAGGAGAATGAAAAGTAGGTGTCATTTTGCAGATGTTGTGTTCCTCAGAAATGAGATTTCCCAAGAAAGCACTGATGTTTCCTTTATAATTTCATAATTTCTTTTATTTGTTCTACTTGAGGCAGCAAAATGAGTCAGAGTTTCATAATATGCAAGAAAACTCCAGAGATAAATTGCAATGGGATACTTAATAGCAAACTTCTCACAACCTGGTTGTTTGGTAACAGCAGGCATGTTCTCACCAGACTCCAGCACCAGAAATCAGTGCTCTTAGCTCACCTGGTCAATCTCAACAGAAAAACTACCAAAAAAAACCTGTCAGGCTGATTGAACTGCAGGTAAGAGCAAGGGAGACACGTTAACAACACAAAACAAGGTCCCCCATTAGGAAAATCACACCAGCTTTCCACAGCCATGGCCTGAACAACAACTGGCTACTCTGGAGGCTGTGGCACACAGCCAGTGTTGCTGCCAGATCCCCTTTTCTACTCTCTGGCCTTATGACATGGTCAGTATTATGTGGCCAGTACAGCCAGGGAGATAAGGAGGCTCAGGGCTTCAGGATCTTGTCATCACTGGATGACCTATTTGCAAGGCATCATTAATTCACAGCTTTCCAGGCAGAACCCTGGAGTTTGATTTTTCTGTTGTGTCACACACAGGATGTAAACACAATACATCTTCAGAGGGAAGGGCAGCACAGGATGTGCTTGGTACCAAACCCAAATAAATCACTCAGCTTTAAGGAGAATCCAGTGCACTGTTAATGCTGAACCTGGAGCATAGCTTAATTAAAAACCTGCCCCACAGAAATGCAAACCAGATAATTATTAATGCTAGTTATAGTCTAATACTGGAATTTTGTCATTCGATTGCTAAGACATCAGGAAAACAGCTCCAAAAAAAAGCATTTTGGGTATCACCTGGAAGACATCCTTTATTGTAATGTGCACTTCTTAGCCACAATGTACAGCAGCACTGGCTCTCTGTTCACAAACATATTAGGCATTATTTTTACTGCTGGGTCTCTTGAGGAATTCAGAAATATGAATGCAAAGGGCTAAGTGAAGCTTAACAAAATAGAATTCACTACGAAATACATCTGCATACCAAAGAACCTATTTTACCATTTCTCAGTCTCCTCATAGTTCCTAGGACTGCCTCCCAGATTTTGAAATCTATTTCTCAAAGAAATACATTCCTTCTTTTCTCTTTTTACAAGCTTTAAGAAACTTGGGGTTGGAATCATTTGCCTAATGCATCACTTGAATAAAGTTAGGTTTGTAATCTCTGGGAACATAGAGGGTTTTGGCATCCCTGTACCCACCAGGACAACACCAAACATGTGATTCAGCCACTAAGAAAGCTCAACAGGAAGAATTTCATCATTTTAGTTAAGTAACACAATGAGCTGAAGTAAACTTCATCAAATCAAACAGATTCTTCAGACAATATGGACTAATCCAAAAGGTATGAACTCTAAAGGTAAGACCCAGTGAGCTCTGTCTGGTGTTAGTAGTGACTCCCAGTAGAGTCAGTAGAGTCAGAGTAGGTGAGAAAGCTCTGTGCCTGCAGGGATGTTCAACTAACCCTTTTACTGAAACAAGGGTCTGTGTCTCAGACAAGGACTGCACAGAAAATACATGGCACCCTCCTTAAAAGAAATTCCTTCTTGCCTCACAACTAAACCTCTCCCTCCTGAGGTTAGGGATCCTTCATGCCTATTACATCTTCCTACAAGTACATTTATGTCCTCAAAGTAGGGCCCAGACTAATGTTTTTGAGGAAAAACAAGTGCAAACTCTACAAATCTATACCTAAAAGTTATCTATACTTTGAAACGTTGAGCAAGACTCTGAATTTGTACACA